GTGGGCAATCGTTGATTGCATTGAGAAGGGATGTGAATTGACGGATGAAAAGTGCAACAGAGATCATTGCTGTTCGGTAGAAAGCATCAGAATATCCGCCGAAAGCAACTACTTGAATTAACAAGAGAAAAATAAGGGAAACAAATTTGATTATGGGTTTGATTCATCGAAAATGATTTCGATTATTCGTCGAGACTCTCCCAAATGCGTGACTTTCGATGAGATTCCGATGTATACGGCTAAAGCATGCTTAGATGTCGGGTAAGGCTCTGACTGATAGCGAGGTTTTTGCAAGTTCAGCTACGACATTGGATGGGCGATGACGGCCTTGAAAATAGCAGTTTTAACCGAGAACCATTAGGCTTTGCATCCATGGTAATGATAAATGACGTATATACGTGTGCACTTTTTAGAATTTAAAATATCAAATGTCAAGTTTAGAATTAACCATGCGTCTCATCAGACCTAGATTGAAATACTACTGTATGCTGTTAATTAAAGATTACTGTCGGAGTTAGAAATATTACGATGTCGTTCAACATTCATGCCATCTTCAGTTCATATGGACTTCAGTGATTCAAAAAATGCTCCTTTAGACGATATAACGCTGAAACATTGAACATCAACGTAATATTTCTGATTGGTTATATTTTGTCAACAACACAACATTAGTGCTATAATTCTTCCACTGCCGCCATACCCCATATAAATCAGCGAAGCTTCCAGTAGGCCAAAATTATGTTCTATTTTCTAATAAGCAACCTTCACTCATGATATTGGTGTGTAAGTAATTGAAGCAATAAGATTTAATAACAAATTTGTTTCCTTTCATTAAAATTTCAAAAAACACTAACTAAAACTGATTATTGCTGAAATCAGTGGAACATTCAACCCTAGTATTGATAGAACCATAGTATTGACAGTGGTCGAAACAGCTGTGTTCGTCGTTGAGAAGCGGAGACGAAAACGATTCACTAATATTACAGAAGCCGAGGAATTTCATAAACTGTGAAGTGGAGTGAATCCACATTGGATCACAGAAGAGTTTGACACATTTCGTAACAAATTTGAATGGACGCGACTGAATGGGCTAAGCTGATTGATCCGTTCAATAAATTGTACATTTCTTATTATCACAACCATAATTAGTCATACAAATAATAAATGTCGTTATTGTCAACAGCCATTCTGATGTTTTGTTTTGAAGCAGTCATCCATTACACAAATTCAACGATCATTTTTCATTGTTCTTCTTTCGTTCCACATCTTCATAACCAGTTCACGGTTTGTAATGTTGTTCAGTACAAGACAAACCCAAATAGAAATTTTTATTCGTTAAATATCAAAAGTTGAAAATTTGTATCGTTAAAATTGGGCAGTGCTGTGTTGTTATACCATCACAACGTGGTAATTTGGTTGACAATTCAAACTACGATTTAGATCTCGCTCTCTGTAAACTTCTTGAAAGTTGTTATCCCAATCGTATGGATCGCTCAACTTACGATGATCAACAAACTCCTGCAATCAATCACTCAACAGTAACACCTCAAAGAAACATTAAAAGGCCGCATTGCTTTCTGGGGCAGCGTTAACCGGATCAATATGTGACGTTCAAGTCAGGCTATGCCATTTCAACTTAATTGTACGCATGTCTTTTGCTGTCATGAGGTTGGAATCATTTCTGCATGGTTTGTTGGTTCATACGATACATAAAATTCATTGATTAGAAGTCGATAGTAATCAGTAAATGAAATTCATTAATTAGAAGAGGCAAAAGCATCGGTAGTAATTACTAAATATCAGTGAATAAGATACCATCATAATTTCTTGTAAAGCTGCGTAGTTAGGTTCATCTTCTGCATCCATCGATGTAACAGCACGACCGAGTTCTCGAAATCCTTCACCAACTTTTTTCGAAACTGCATGAAAGTCATCACATTGCTGTAAGCACAACACTTCACTCTATTTTATGTGTGATTTCTGAATGCTCATCATGACCGCATACTAAAACTATTGGTATGTTGGCACCGTTGAGTGTTTGTAAACAACGATGCAGTTGATGTCATCAAAACGGCAACAGATGATGTATTCAAGTNCCAACTTTTTTCGAAACTGCATGAAAGTCATCACATTGCTGTAAGCACAACACTTCACTCTATTTTATGTGTGATTTCTGAATGTCCATCATGACCGCATACTAAAACTACTGGTATGTTGGCACCGTTGAGTGTTTGTAAACAACGATGCAGTTGATGTCATCAAAACGGCAACAGATGATGTACTCAAGTGGAAATGAATGCACGAATCAACGTTCATTTTTGAGAGTAACAATACAACTTTCAAATGATACGAAGTACTCAATGAAACAAACCAATGCTATTTTGCACAATTTAACGTCATCAGGCTGCTGCAACTCCCTCCAGGGTAACACGCCTCGGATCATCTCAATTGCCGAATAGAACAAACTTATCAAGTCATCCGATGGACCAACATCTTTGCCATCATGACATCTTACTGATGCATATAGAGTTGTGCCACGAAACCCACATTGTTCACGCAGCGGCCGTAAACGTCCGTTCGAATGTCGAAAGCGCCTTGCCAGGCCGTAATCAACAAGTATTAGACGGTGCTTACTCTGAACTTGCCATATTACTTTCCAAAACACCACAGAAGTATTTTTGACGAAACAATCGAAGCAAATTAATAAAAGTAAAATACTGTGACTTCGACCAAATATTTCTGGAATTATTAGGGGAATGTTGAAGAAACATTGATTTAGAATTTTCTCATCATGATTTTTACGCTGTCATTTGATTTATTGAATGCTCGCTTGGTTTCGTCACATTCGTTACAATCGTAGGTGATATTAACAGTTTCAGCAAGTGCGTGATAAAGCCTCGAAAGGAAAACCAACCGCTTCAGATAAACCGAAACACATATTATGTGGTTTTATATCTCTGTGAATATATCCAATTTGGTGAATATCTCTCAAGGCAGCGATAGCCTGCAATCGCTTTTGTGTCTCGAAAACGTCATTTTTTGATGTTCACCATTGAATTTTCACTCTTAAACCTAACCTGAATAACAATTCTGCCCATTGTTGGTCTTGAGAAACGCTTGAACGGACTTTGCTTTCGGATGTCATTTACATTAATCGATAAAAGTTGCATCACAATATAATTTACTTCAGATGTGCTTCCTGAGGCCCACATTAATGGTGCATGCGATCGACCTTGTAGACGTAACAGTATCTGGAGTGCCGAAAATTCTTGATGAACCTGTTCACGTTTAAGTTTTCCGATTCAATTAAACAGTGAAGGAGTTGCAGGATCGAAAACCGCAAAAATACATACGATTACTACTCGCCATTGGAGAATTCATAATATTATGGAATTGTGACATTCGAATAATTTTATTGATCCTGGACACTGCTGATAATTTCGCTGATGTCGCAGTTTTTTGCTACTTCTCGCAATTCTCAAGAGTTGTGGATAAGCCGGTTAAGTAATCTCAATTCGATCCGAATATCGTTTAATAATGCTCCATCCAGAAACCTTTTGTTCTAGAATCATTCTCTTTGCGGTTCGTCCTTTGCGTTTTTTCGGTTCTGTTTTTACGGCTACACCGAGCGATTTTGGTGAGAGTGCATCGTACGCGAAATAGATTTGTCCATATCCTCCTTTACCAATTAAACCCTTCAAATGGATTATCTCATATTTTTTATATTGCACCGTTGTAATTACGGAAACAATCTTCTACGCTGCATTGATGCCCTTATAGCTTCCTATGAAGTGATTTGAACTTGAAGATGAAATCGACGTCTTGCGGACGTTTATCTCGTCTTCATAACTGTTTTTCTATCCAAAGTTTTATTGTTCTATTTTAAAACCGTGAACGAAACTGGTGCCCGAAAATACAGCATTCAAATCTGAACTTACACTTATGATCCATTTACCAGCAATTTTTTCGCCAAATTGACACAGTGGCTTTGAAACATTTTTTTGACTTAATTTTGGATAGAGTCGTATTAAACCACTGAAATGCTGTTTCGCATTTGAAGTTTACTCCAGTGATAAGTGAAGAATAAGCATATTCATCTCAACTATAATAATAATTTAGAAGCTTTCTTCATTATGTTTCGAAGAGTGGATAACATCGATTCAATTATGCTGGATATCTAATGAACCATAACAATGTCTTAATCGTATGCAAGAATGTATGTAAGGAAAAAAGATCACTGCTGCTAAAAAATATCTTTGAATTCAAAAAAAAAACGATAAGCTGTTTGAATAAATTCTTCAGAGAAAAACCAACATTGGAAGAGCTAATGAACCGCCATGCGATATTTGCGTTTTCGCTGTGACAAGAGGCGACGATGACATTCGGGGAGAGTGGCCGCCGGTCGGTCGCTTTAAACACTCAATTTATCGGGCAACCGCACCCGTTACTTCAACTAAAAACGAATGATTATGGATCACACCACTTAAATAAGTAATGTTGTTGATGCGAAAATTTTCAATAAAATTGATTTAGTCACGAATCTTGTGCTAATTACGCAAAATTGTAATGCATGAACACTTAAGAACAATGAATTTCCTCATATTGACGATCGAAGTCATGCAAAATGTTCCCTTCCTCTGTACCACCGATTCATAGGTGAATGAGGTAGTTTTACCACTACCTGATCTGCTTGTCAATTACTATTTTGTTAGCCAATTGCTAGTTTGCTGCTCGATCACAACTTTGTCTAATCAGTCAATGCTAGTTTAATGAGATTTGAGCACATTGAATGTGTGGATTGAAGTTGGCAATTCTAGTTCTATCAACCTAAAAATGGTATGCAAAGTGTTTCTGAACAGTGTGAGTACAGCCGCAAGAGTTCAGTTCTGTAAATTTACTGCATGATGCTTACCGTACCTCTATGTCAATTAACTTCTGATNTGTGGAAGAGACCAAACCTTCAATCATTCTCGGCAAACGTAACATCTTCAATGCGTGCTTATCATGGAAAGCATATTACGTGCCGAGTTCTTGCCATTCGAATGAATGAAATTTTTTGGAAACGATTTTAGCAAAGTGATGAATAAAATAAGATGAATCAGTTTTTTTTGCATTCAAAAATTATATCCTCGAATAATAATCACTAATCGTAAGAAATTTATTCGTTAATTTTTGATTTCGCTGAATGCTTAAAATTTATTTTAAGCTCTTTAAGGAAGATTAAAGTAAATATGGCATGTACAATTAGTGAAATTTCAAAATGGTTTGATAGCGTTTGGCGTTATTTCAGCTCAAAAAAAGCAAAACGCAACTTTTATTACGATGATAGTTTTTTTGATTGCAATAGCACTCGTTCTTGACAAGGAATCATTCAATATGGATATTAGCAGCAATAAAATAAGATATTTTAGATGATTTATTTGTTCACCATTATACGGATGAACCAACGAGGTCATAACTTTTCATACTTATTGCCGATGATTTATGTGCTAACGCATTAAAAAATCATTGGATTGTTACAATTTAATTCGCAAAATAGAATTTTGTATGAAGATTTCAAATGATTTTGAATGGAAAAAGTTATATTTAACGATTTCTTTAAGTCGGTATTAATTTGATAAAACTCTGATTATTTCTGTTTACTTAATCATCACCATGTCTTTGATTGCTACATTTTTTAATGATTCAATTTGTATGAATGTACACAAATAATGTTGGAAACTATCACGAAAATGGGATAATGCGTCACTGATAAACAGAAATTAGTGGATATAAAAGATGCTCTCAACG